ATCTCTGCAGTCCAGGGATGAGCAGTAAGCCTGGCCTGCGACATGAAGCTGGTGAAGGCAGATGCCCCTCCTATCTTTCACCAAAGCTGTTCCCAGAGCAATAACTTCTCATTATTCCTCCCTGATGACTTCTGGAAGATAATGAGGTATGAATTACAACTGCAATTTTGCCCACAGTCACCATTATTAGGCTTCTTCCCTATGGGGATTTTCAGGTGGACTTTTTGATAGGGATATTTTCTTCTTTCTTCTTGTACTAGATTGATCACATAATGACCCCGGATTGTGAAGCTCTTTGGGGCAGAGGCCATCAAGGCCTTCCTGTATCCTTAGCACCAGTATCTGGCACACAATGGGTGTCATGATTGGTGATGCTGGAAATGGTTCCATACCTTCCTACCAACTGGGTCATTCTTGCTCCTCTTCATACTCTCAGCCTCCAAACTTTTCTCATCACTTGCCTCACTTTTCTACAGGTGCTGTGTGGCTTCACCATCAACTATCCCATCACTGATCTCTTTGTCCTGCAATGATGTCATTAAATCTGGCACCATGTAGAGTCTCCAGGGGGAGTGTCTTCCCTTTGCTAAGGTACCCACTCAGTGGAGAGAATTCATTGCTGTGGTCAAAATTAACATTAAGACAGAAGAATCCCATAGAGGCGGAAGATTCCTAAGCAGCACTTACCCTTGTTTCTTGGCCTAGCCACATCCATCCTATCATCCATATCCACAGTATTCCCCAACACCTATCCCCAAAACTCACCCAGCTCTGTGTCCACTGGACAGTGGCTACTTTTAAAAAGCCACTATTTTCTGAAAAGCAATCTTATCCCTGTACTCTTTCAGAGCTAGTTACTGTGGTGGATGATAAGTTGGACAAGGTGACCCACACCATAGATCAATTCCAGTGACTGTAGATAGCTGAATGCAGAATGGTGGAATTTTGTCTCATGCACTAAGGACAGGTTATCAGGAGGGATCAGCCCCTGGAGGACATCATGCTTGGTGATTAGAGGGTCAGCAAAAAAGAGGAAGATGCTCATTGAAATGGACTAATACAGTGGCTTCAACAATGGGCTCAAACATAGCAATGACTGTGAGGATGGCCCAGGACCGGGCAGCATTTTGTTCTGTTCTGCTTAAGGTTACTGTGAGCTGGAACTGACAATACCTAATGCAATAACAGTGTGGAGCTATAGAGAGAGATTTATTCCCTGAGCCTAATAATATACTCTCCCTCCACTGCCAGGTTTGCTAAGACCTCACCCCTGCTCTGCCTTTCCAGTGACCTCCTCCTATCCCCATTCATACACCCCAAACAGAGCCAGGAGCTCTGCATTCACTGATGCTCTGCTCCTTACTTCCAAACTCAATACCTCAAGACTCCCAAATTCCAGTTCAAGTTTGGGGACAAGTTTTTTGCCTCTTACAGTTCCTGGAGGCTGTATGAGAAAATTTTGGCCCTGTTGTGCCTGTATAATCCCAAAGATTCAACCCCCAGCTCTATACACTCCAATATAATGAAGGAACCGGGAGGAGAACTGGTTAAGTCCAGATCATGAGGCATTGCACTAATGGATTTTCTCATTTTTTAAGCTCCTGGATGTTTGCCAAGTTGTGTTTTCTATTTTGTTTTTTGTTTATTTGTATGTGTTTTCAAAAAGAGAGATAAAGGAAGGAACTTGAGAAGGGAGTAGTGTGCAATGCAACTATCAAACTCCCTCCCCAACCCTCTCCAGCTTCCAGAAGTCAAAGCCAGCTCTCAAAAAGAGCTGAAGCTAGCTCTTCTTTTCTCTAATTCCCAGCCCTGAGATACTCTAACCTTCTTTAAAACGTGGCACAGATGGAAGAAACCATTCTCTTTTTAGAGGAAAAAATATATATTTGGGAAGAATAAATGGCTCTGCTTCTGAGAATGTATAATGTGAGAAAAGGATTTTCTCTAATTGAATGGAAACATTCCTTTAAGAGAAGTCTTTCTGGGAGTAGGGGATGGAAGAGGACTTTCTGGCTGACTTGAGGAAACACACTCTCAGAGATGAAGCCTGGGGAAGATATGAAGATAGCCTGAGGGACCAGGCATGCTTGGAACAGCTGTCAGGGCCAGACTGGGAAAGTAGCCTCCCTAGGGAACATAGGATTGGGATACTCTTGTCCCTTGCCTGTATTCAGTAGATGAAAGCACTGAAAGAATAGCTTTGTTCTGAGTAATAGATCGATAGATCGATCGATAGATAGATCATAGATAGATAGATAGATCATAGATAGATAGATAGAGATTGATCATTACATTTCCTACTTCAGACTTTATTTGGGTCCCACGGTTCTCTTTATTTTATTGTAAAATATATATAACACAACATTTGCCAATTCAATGTTTTTCATATTTATAATTCAGTGATATTAGTTATGTTAATCATGTTGTGGAACCATCACCAATAACCATGGCCAAATCCTCCATCACCATAAACAGAAATCCATTGCTTCCCAAACAGAGACTCCCTTGTTCCCCCTCTCTCCTCCCCCTGGTAGCCACTAATAAAATTTTGGGCTCTTATTGTGCATATTTTATATTTTACATGAGTGAGATCATACAATATATGTCCTTTTATGATTGACTTAGTTCATTAACATAATGTTCTCAAGGCTCATCCATGTTGTAGCATGTATCGGGACTCCATTTTTCTTCATGGTTGAGTACATACTAAATATATATATGTATATACCATATTATGTTTATCCATTCATCTGCTAAGGGGCATGTAGGTTGTTTCTAATTTTTGGCCATTGTGGATAGTGTTGCAATGAAATTGATGTATGTATGTTTGGTTTTTTCACTACTTTCAAGTCTCTTGAGTATATACCTAGAAATGGAATTTCTGGGTCACATGGTAGTTCTATGTTTAACTTTTTGAGGAACCACAAAACTGTTTTACACAGCAGCTATACCATCTTACATTCCCATCAGCAAAGAGTAAGGATTTCAGTTTCTCCAAATCTTTGCCAACATTTGTTGTTTTCTGTTCCTTTGATCTTGGCCATACTAGTTGGAGTGAAGTAGTACCTCATTGTGGTTTAGATTTGCATCACCCTAATGGCTGATGGCATTGAGCATCTTTTCATGTGCTTATTGGCCATTTGTATATCTTCTTTGGTGAGATGTCTATTCAAGTCCTTTGCCTGTTTTTTGATTGGATTGGTTGTCTTTTTGTTGTTAAGTTGTAGGAATTCTTTATATATTCTGGGTGTTAAACCCTTATCTTTTATATGATTCCCCAAAATTTTCTCCCAGTTTGCAGATTGTCTCTTCATTTGTTAAAATCTTCTTTTGAACAAAATTTTTTAATTTTGATGAAGTCAAATATATCTATTTTGTCTTCTATTACTAGTGCTTTGGGTATTGAATCTAATTTACTGTTAAACATTAGGCCCCAAAGCCATCTCACTATGTTTTCTTCTAGGAGTTTTATGGTTTTAGTCTGTACATTTGGGTCCTTGATCCATTTCAAGTTAATTTTCACTTATGGTGTGAGGTATGAGTCCAGCTTCATTCTTTTGCATGTGGATATCCAGTTGTCCCAGCACCATTTATTAGACTCTTCTCTCACCATTGCATAGATTTCACATCCTTGTCAAAAATCAGTTGACCGTAGATGTGTAGGATTATTTCTGGACTCTCATTTGGTCTATGTGTCTATTATTATACCAGTACCAGACGGTTCTGATTACTGTAACTATATAATGTATTTTGAAATCAGGAAATGTGAGTCCTTTGTTCATCTTCCTCAAAATTGTTTTGGCTATTTGGGTCCCCTTGCCATTCCACATAAGACTGCTTTTTCCATTTCTGCAAAGAAGGCTGTTGGAATTTTGATCAGGATTGCACTGAATTTAAAGTCTTCCAATCCATGAACACAGAATGTCTTTCTATTTATTTAGGCCTTCTTTAATCTCTTTCAGCAGTGTTTTATAACAAACTTTAATAATTTTTATGAAACTTTTAAGCATAAAAATAACCATTACTTGATCTTGATCTCTCAAATACATATAGATCAAAATGGAAGAAGATGATTGTTGACTGACTGTATTTTTCCCAGTGCTTTTCAGGATGCAATCTTCTCTTGTTGCCAAGATGCAGAGTATTTCTCTCAAGATTCACTTTCTTTTGATGATGCCCTGTTTCTGTGATTCTCCCACATATTCCCTCTGACAAGCTTTACAGAAAATATTTGCAGATCGCTGCACTAAACAAAAGTGGCCATTAGTTGGCACTTCACATTTCAAGATGAATAATTCCTGTATCTCTAAAGACACTCTCCAGTGGATTTGCCATTCCCTTCCCTACCACCTTTCTCCCAAACACAAAATCCAGATCAATAGGTGATGCTCAGTGGAATCTTTTCCTTTGAAGGGAATCACAGACTATAGGTTGGGGTGCATGACCTTTTCATCTAGTGGAAGAACACTTTTCATTTTCATTTATTCAAGACAACCAATTTTGGAATTAATGAATGAAAACCACCATTATTACTTTTTATGCCAGAATAAGAGTTTATTAGGAGGTTAACAAGGGGTCTTCATTGCATCTCCAAAGACCAAAAGAGTGACAAGGAAGATTTATTCTAATTAAGTTTCAATTTGTAGTGTGCCTATCAACTCTATCACATTGGATGTAATTATTTTAAAATCACGTTTAGACAAATATTTGCTAAAGCATAACATGTATCTTTATGGTAATAGAGATCATTTGATCGTGTCATAGGTTTCTCTATGTGGCTCAAAAGACTGATTGAACCAGTAGGTAGATCTTGCAGGCTCTTGTAAGAAAGGATCCAGCCAGGGAATTCAGTGAAAGGCTAGAAGCCACTCCAGGATGCTTGCACTGGTAGAGTAGGTTTCTGACTTGATCTACAGTGTGGGTGCTGTTGGAGATGTTTGGACGAAGCAGAGTTGAGATGTATCTCTGAAGCCCTTCTCCTCCTGCTGGCAATGGGGCCTCTAGCGCACAAAGGTATTGCAAGGTCCACATCGGACTCGTGGACCACAAGGGGCACAGGGATTGGAGACACAGGGTCCAGTGGTCTTTTCACAAGCATTGGTAGTGGCACAGGGATTGCAGGGAAGCCTAGAGACAGAAAATCATTGTGGCAAGTTAGAGTAAAATAAGCTGAAGTGACAGAAAATACTAAAAATACTTTGTATAAGGATAATGCTCTTCCTTGAAATGACTCAGACCAAAAGCTCAAAATTATAAATGTGTTTCCATCAAGATTACTCATCCCCACAGCACCCTCATGTATTGAAAGGAAGAAATCACTGCCTTCATACTCACTTGCAGTCCTCGCTCTCCAGCAGTCCCCGGTACGTGTTGATCTCACACTCTAACCGGGCCCTGACATCCAGCAGCACCTGGTACTCTTGGTTCTGACGCTCCAGGTCACAGCGAATTTCAGCCAGCTGGGACTCCACGTTGGTGATCATGTACTGCACCTGGGACAGCTGGGAGCTGTAGCGGGCCTCGGTCTCTGTCAACGTGTTTTCCAGAGAGTCTCTCTGAGGTGAGGAAGGAAAAAAAAATAAAAAATCAGAAACATGCAAAGGTTCCCTATAAGGTTATAAAGAACCCATAGGCTCCCACAGTTAGGGAGAGTGTATGGTCTGAAGGGGACCCCAGTGACTTGATTCCCTGATGTCACATTTCACAGGAGGACATCTAAACTATACCCACCAGGTTGTGCTGGGCCTGCAGTTCGATCTCCAGGGCATTGACTGTACGTCTCAGTTCGATGATCTCTGCCTGGAAGGACTGCACCTGCTCTGAGCTGGACACCACCTGCTGGTTCAACTCCTCGGTCTGAAATATCCAAAGGAAAGAAAACAGGGCTCGGAATTTATAGGCCTTGGGGGTCTCAGGTCTTGAGTGGCCAGGTGCTTAGATGCCCACCTGTGTTTTGAACCATTCCTCCACATCCCTGCGGTTGGTCTCCACCAAGGCCTCGTACTGACACCTGGTCTCGTTCAGTACACGGTTCAGGTCCACAGTGGGGGCAGCATCCACCTCCACATTGAGCCGCTCCCCAATCTGGCAACGCAGGGTGTTGACTTCCTGATGGAGCAAGGGCAAAATATAAAATATCACAAGGAATCCTGATGTCCTCCTCTAAGAATGCAATTCAACTTCTGATCATTCTTAAGCCTTGTTCCCTTCGATCCTCTCATTCATTGCTATTGTATTCAATGACTAATTTGTGCATTCTTCTTTCTAATCCATGACCTCTTTCCATCTTTTGTATTCAGTGTATCACTCCACATTTGGAAGAGCATTAATGGAGACTTAGAAAGGTACAGTGATTTGGCCTTAGACCTGAGACATAGTAGACCAGGTTTAAACCTTGGTCACCAAATGCCCAGTTTAATGATTTTGCTAGGATGAACATAGCCTCTTATGTTTGGTTCTTAACCATGGGTAAGAAAAAGTATAGATTCTGGCTAAAGAGAAAAGAACAAATGCTTCCTTCAAACTCTGCTAGACTGGGATAGACTAGACTGAGTTAGTGATTTGTTGATTCCTCCAGTGTAGATTTCATGAAGGAGATAAGTATCTGTTCATGTGCTGCTCATCATTTTTAGGAAGCCAGCATAGCTTGGTAATTGAGTTTAGGTGGTTTTAAGAAAGATTTGAATTTGATCTCACTGCTACTACTTACTAAATAGCTGCTGGATGCCTCAATCTTCATCTTTAAAGTAAGAACTGGACTAGTAGTTACCTCTAGGGTTCTAAAACACTTAGCTTAATGTTGGGCACATAATGAGCGCTTGATTAATCTTAAGTACTGAGTTCCTCGGTAGTGCAAATGATTAACATGCTTGGCAGCTAACCAAAGATTGGAGGCTCCAGTCCAGCCAGAAGTACGTCAGAAGAAAGGACTGGTGATCTCTTTCTGAAAAATCAGCCATTGAAAACCCTATGCAGCACAGTTCTACTCTGACATACATGAGACCTACCACTATGAGTTAAAGTCAGAGTCAACTCAATGGCTACTGGTTTTAATATTAACTATTACCATTTACATATTTATGAGAGTTATTGTTTGCACAAAATATGTCTTTAGAGTGCAACTGACCAGACAATGATGGTAAGCATCTTCTCAGTGAGAACAATGAGTGGTACAAAGAGCTCTGGCCTAGAATGAGGAGCGTTACATTTTGTTTCCAGTTCAACCCTGTCTGCTGGCTGACCCGGGACCATCCTCCCTTTCCAGTTACAAATGGAGACTTGGACTGGAAGATCCCGTTGGCCCATCAGCTTTGGGCTGGCTGCCTTAGTGCTCAGGCTTGCCAACTTCCTTCACTTGCTTTCTGCCTCTAGCAGAAAATTCCAATCCCATACCAGGGATTTTGATTACTCATTCTCCACAAATCCCTTTTTATTTCAAGAAGAACTTCCTTGGTTAACTGAGCCTTAACCAAGAGCCTCTCCTGTACCCTGTGGTGGCTGAGAAACAGGCCCTGACATGCTTGATCCTGTGGCTCTTTGGGGAACTTCACCTGCTCATGGTTCTGCTTGAGACACAGCAGCTCCTCCTTCAGGGACTCCACCTGGGCCTCCAGGTCAGACTTGCACAGGGTCAGCTCGTCCAGGATCCTGCGCAGGCCGTTGATGTCGGCCTCCACCAGCTGCCGCAGGGACAGCTCCGTCTCATACCTGTGATCACAGGAGAATCAGGGGCAGGCTGGGCAGGTACAGACCTCACCTTGATGCCAGCTTGGTTTTATTTGTCAGACAACAGGGAGTTAGGACTTGTGGGTTCTTAGAACCATCTCATTTGTTTAGATTTTGAACACCAATCAGTAGCTCCTGGATGAAAACACACTGGTGATTTTTTTGAAATAAAGAAAAAGCCAGTGATTAAAGGGGAGGAAAGCTCCTAAATTGTGAGGTTTTTAAAATTAATATGCTTCCAACATTGTCATGATTGAATCCCGTGCATAACAGAGCATCAGGGAACCATGACATCTACTCTCATTCCCAGTGTGAGTGGAGGGACATGGCTTTACCAAGGAGAAGCAGGAGGGACCTGGAGAAGGGGCTGTCTGAGCACAGGTGTGCAATTACTCTGTGGCTCAGGAAAACATCTGAGAAAGATTTTCTCCATTTGCCAGTATTGATAACAGGCTAAAGGGAGGGAGATGGAAGAAAGAATAAATAAACAAGCAGCAAGCTCCCTGCAGGCCCACTCACTTGGTCCTAAAGTCGTCTGTGGCCAGCTTGGCATTGTCGATCTGCACCACCAGTCTGGCATTCTCGGCCTTGCTGCACAGGATCTGGAAGACCCAAAACATTCTAGAATGAGCCAGGGCTTTGTCGTGTTTAATCAACCGCAATCCTTACTCATCTGCTTATAGGAAAGGAGCTTGCCAAGAAATCACAGTACATCTTATGCAAAGTGCCTCAATGTTGTTCAGGTACAATAGAAAAAACAAGAACATGGAAATAGGTTAGAAAAATATCAGGAGATAAATAACCTAACTACTTCTTTCCTAATAAGCAAAACCGAGCAGTTGATAATAATAATAACTAGTATTTATTAAAGGAGCTCTGGTGCCACAGTGGTTAAAACATTTAGTTGCTAACCAAAAGGTTGGCAGTTTGAACCCACCAGCCATTCCATGGGAGAAAGATGAGGCAGTCTGCTTCTGTAAAGATTTACAGCCTTGGAAACCCTCTGGGGCAGTTCTACTCTGTCCATGAGTCAGAATCAACTTAATGGCAGTAGGTTTTAGGGGTTAACATTTATTAAAAACACCCATTATGTGCCAGGCTAGGAGCTGAGGATACAAAAATGAGTTAAAACTGGGTTATGTCCTCCAGAAATGTCCAATCAAGTGGGGATGATGGAGCTGTAAACTAGAGATTGGAAGGGGCTAGAAACAGCCAACTCTTCCAGCTGTTCTGGGTGGCTTGGTACTACATCCTCCTGGGTAGTTGCCACTCTCTGGTTTTAGCCATCCATTTTATGCCCTCACAGAGTACTCTGCACTGGGAGAACCCCAGAGGCATCTAAGACATAAACAGTAAAGCCATGTTAATTCAATACCTAGAAGAGGAAGCCACCCAGCAGTCAAAAGCAGTCAAAAAGCCCAGATGAGGGAGAGAGAAATTGGTCTAATCCTTACAAAAGGTTCTTTCCATGTCCTCATCTTTTTCTTGGGCCAGGTCCTTTTCTCTTACCTCAGGGCAATAACTGGGGAGCTTGACAAATGCATGGAAGTATTCAGAGGCAGCTTTTAATTACAGCTTATTTATGCAAAGTGCTGTTACCACCATAGTAGACTAACACTATGCAAATATTCAGACCTAACAGACTTGGGCCTAAAATGGGATGGCCTGTCAAGAAACAAAAAAACCCTTGGATTTTAACCACATGGAAAGCTAATGTTACATCTTCATTGTATCTCAGATGATTTCCCTACAACTTCCTGCCAACGAGACAGTGTGGTACCCATGCCCTCACCTTCTGCTGGAGCTCCTCAATGGTACGGAAGTAGGACTGGTAGTCCGGGCACGCATAGGGCACTTGCTGCTGGTTCCATTCACGGATGCGGCCCTCCAGCTCTGCGTTCTCCCGCTCCAGCTGGCGCACCTTCTCCAGGTAGCTGGCCAGGCGGTCATTCAGGAACTGCATTGTCTCCTTCTCATTGCCATTGAAGGAGCCCTCACAGAACCAGTTGCAGTTGCCCACATTGGCGGGGATGTTGCAGGCCCCAGGCAGGGTGCAGCTATGGCAGCTGGGGGGCACGCAGGGCCGGGAGGAGCAGCTGGTGCGGCAGCTCAGGTTGGGCAGGCAGCAGGTGTACGACATGGTGCTGGGATGGAGCAAAGTACTCGACTGAAGCAGAGTTCAGGTCCTCGGAGTATGTGGGTCTCCTCCCTCTGTGAATCCTTTATACCCCCTCCACAGAGGGTGTGGACATGGAAGGTGGCTTTTTTTCAACCTTTTTACTCATTTGGTAATTGTCAGAAGCCCTTACCCTGGGTTTGTTATGTGTTTCCTCAGAAGAGTCCCTTGCCTCATAAAAGACTTTACTTGAGCTTCTCGCTAAGTCAGGACTCCTGTGCTAGGCTCTGCGTAAGAGCTTCATGGTGTGGCTTCAAAGAGCTGGACTCATGAAAGCCCTGGCCCTCATTAGTGGGGCGTGGCTGGCCCAGGGACAGTGCTGCTGCTTTGCTTCCTGCTTGGTGGGTCTTAATTCCTTCACACGCCTCTGGCTCTTGCTGAGACAGACAAGTAGACATGACTCTTGCTCTTGTATCTCTTGCTAAGTCAAACTTAACAAATGCCCAATTCATGGTTTTTGAAAAGAAGATCAGACCACTTCTGGAACAAGGGAAATAGACTAGCTCCCTGTGGCCCTCTGTTTCCTGGCATAGTGGGCCTTGTAGACTTAACTTTTTCCTTATAATTTTAGCCAACTAAATAACAGATACTTACTTGGTCATAGTTTGTACACTCGACTAGCTATGGCTCATGGGGGCCAAGTGACAAGACTACCCTGACCCGCTGTTCCAAGGACTCAGAGCATCAGTACTGTGGGATGCACCTAAGCCAGTCACCTCAATAAGGTTGAAAAGCTCTGCATTAAATCAAGTGAAAGAAGCTCACTAAGGACGGTGTGAGGCAGAGAGTGACCAATGAGTATAGAGGGAGAAGTAGGTGATGGGACATACAGAACTATATGAAACTATTTGAGGAATTTAGGTATTATGTAGGCAAATACATTCATAACAAAATTTAAATTTTATGATTTCAACATGAGGACATTTAAGAGAAAAAACATACAACACTGACGACACTGGATGCTTTTAAGTACTAGGATTATGACTTTTTTTCTTTATAGTTTTTTACTCTTTCCAAATTTTTAGAAACATATGTATACTTTGTAGGAAAATAAACTAATTTTTTTAAAATGCATTTTATTGAAATATAATTTATGTACAGTGAAATACACA